GTGGGAATGGCAGGGTAAACCTTGCACTTAGTTGCACATTGAGCCCATGAAAGGACCTACCTAGTCAATGTTCTTGGTCATTGTTGATGCCAACTCAAAGTAGTTGGAAGTACATAGAGTGCATTTGTTTAACACTGGGACGACGATAGAAAAACTGTGCGGCTTTTTTTCAATACACAGTCACAGAAGTGTTGGCCACAGATAACGAGCTGTCATTTACAAGCACGGAATTTGGGTATCTCCTAAAGTCGAATGGTATTCATCATATAAGGACAGCCAATGGCCTGGCAGAAAGAGCAGTCTTAACTTTGAAGGCTAGCTTTAAGAAACAGCCTAAGCCTCGCCAGATACCAAGCTGTCACGGTTCCTATTTGATTATTGGATCACCCCACATGCAATATAGGTATTGCACTGGCAAAGTTCTAATGGGTAGAAGACTCCACACCAATTTAAGTCTGATCTTTCCCGGACCTGGGGAGGGTGTGAAACAGCATCAGGAATACCAATGCCAGGTCCAAGACTTCGCCAAATGAGACAGTTTGATACAAGAGAAGAAGTTTGGTGTAAGAATCACAGAAATAACCCCACATAGATAAGAGGCAGAGTCAATGCAAGGTTAGGACCCAGTGACATATAAAGTTTGGGTAGATGCGACAGTCCTGAACAAGCATGTGGAGCATATGAAAGCTGCGAATTTGCAAACAGTGCAGGAGCAAAATGTCAGAAAAGCTGCCAGAACCTGTGTGTTCGCCCTTTCCGCCAAGAGTTTACAAGGCCTCTGAATCAGAGATGGACATGACTGATGTAGCCGCCTCAATGCCTTTGCTGCCAGAAGAGGAGAGTGAAATTCTGCCGAGGCGCTCATTGCGCAAGAGGCAAGGCCCCGTGGGTTACACACTGTCTGCATCAGAGGAACCTGACCCTGTGCTAAAACGTCCCTGGAGGCTTTGACCCCTTAGCTGACATCATTATCAAATTTTAGACAAATATATTGTGAAATTATGAGTTGGCCAGCAGGTGTCACTGTTTACTTAGTAAATCTTGAATCTTCTTTGAAAAGCTTCTTAAACGTACGAATAGCAAAACATGCTTGTTGCATTAAAAAATTGGAAATACTCAACATTTTGGATGTTGATCCTCCTTAAGGCCTGAAAACTGAAACCTTGTCATGTCAATTTGTTAAATTTAATAAATGGCAGAGGGAGAAGGAAAATGTTTTTGAAACAAACATGGAGAATGCTGGAGAAACTCATCAGATCTGTCAGGATATGTGGAGAGTGGAACAGAAAACCAAATATTTTGGTTTAATTGACCTGCAAGCTGCTTTGTAGAGAACCAAGAACCTGTTAAAAAATGCAATGGCGATCAACTGAATGAGATGATGAAATGTATGAGGAGAAAATTGAGATTGGAACTAGTCGGATACTACTGATGAAAGAATACCCCATCCCACATCAAGCTGTGGTCTGATGAAGGACCATATTCAGAAATGTAAACTCATGTCTCCACTTTCAGATGTACAATACCATGATAGTTTGAACTGGAAAGGTGGATATTATTAAGATCTGACACCACGTTGTTCAGAAGAAAGCTGGCAAGTGCCCAGCATAAAAATGAGACACAGTTCCTGAAGTTTGTTTGAGCACTGTTAGCTCACAAAGAGATTGGAATGATAGTGGGTAATGGGGGTGGGGCAGGGCAGGGTGGGGTGTGAGAAGAGAAAGTAAGTTAGAGTTACACTTACAGATAGAAGGAAGGCATCCATTAAAAAGGTAGGCAAAAATGAGAAAATAGATTGAAGGAAATATATGCCCTAGACATTTGGGACTGTGTGAAAAAGTTGATTTTGTTTAGGGACTGTTGTATTAAGATTTAAGTGAACAATATTTTCATGGATTGTGAAGTGGAAGATTAATTTCTTTCCCATTGTGCTTCCAAAGAAACAGTTGAAAATAAGAACTCTAATCTCGAGACCCAACGAGCAGCATTGTTTTGAAAACTTGTTAGATCTATGTTTAGAGCTATTGGTTTGTTATTTAATTACTTATCATCCTACATTAATGAATAAAATGATATCTACAATTACCTGACAATTTTGTTCAAATTGAAAGGCAAATTACTTTCTTCACTATATGAACACAATGACAATTGCCCTTTTAAAACAAAATAATTTAAAGAATGTTTCACTTCCCTGTTAGCAGACTTGTATGTCTGATGCTTGGCGTCAGCAACATGTGATTCATTTTAAAAAAGATGTTTGAACATCGTACTAGTATTTATTGTAGTATCCTAGTAGGGAACAAGTTGGGAAAAGTATAAATGTTATTATGTATATATATCTTGCATCATAAGTTTCTCATGGTACATGTATTGCTTTTCTGCTTTTGTGCATTAACGTTTGGAATTTGCAAATAAGGATATTTGCTCACAGAAATAAACAGCAACAACTTGTCTCTATAGCACTTTTGACACCATTGATGAGAAAATTCACAGAGGCATAAAGAATAAAGATGTCAGCAAAATAAGGGAGGAACTATTTAGGCAAAATAGCAGCCAGATTTTTTTTAAGAGAGTGCTACATTGATGGAGATGGGTAAAGCACATTCAAAATGAGAAGAGCAGAATAATGTCAAATTCCAGTGCACTGTCACCCAATTTACTATTAACCAATTCTATTTTTGTCCAAGCATCATCTTCTGTACAATCTGGCTATTTATTGTAATCTTGCTGTACAATTTGTGATGTAAAATCTATCTTTAGAAATCTGCAGTTGAGCACAAGGACCATTCACTCTTGGAGGATTTTTGATGAAAAGTAACTGTGTGGCTGTTAGCTTTCACTTTTATTAAACAGCAAGTAGGACACAATTTGCAGCAATCACCAGCACGCAATTAAACCTCAAAATCACGGAACTGCTGTTCTAGTTATCCCTCACATCCAGAAACTTTACTGTACCTTTATCTTTAGGAGACAATAAAATACTTGGAAAGGTGTGGTATTGAGAGACATACATGATAAATATCCACTAAAGTATCAACATTAGAGAAACAGGTCAGACCATAAAACATAGGAGCAGAAGGAGGCTATTCAGCCTAACAAGTCTGCTCTGCCATTCATTGAGATTATGGCTGATCTGATAATCCTCATTCCCACTTTCCTGCCTTTCTGCCATAACCTGACTCCCTTACTGATTAAAAATCTATCTGGTCTTGAAAATACCTAATGCCCCAGACTTAACAACTATCTGCAGTCAAACATTCCACAGATTTACTTATCCTCTTGAAAGAAGAAATTCCTCGTCACCTTTGTCTTAAACGTGTGACCACTTACTTGGAGATTATGCCTTCTGGTCCTACACTTTTGACAAGGAAAAACAACTTTTCCACATCTACCATGTCAAGCCCCCTAAGAATCTTGTGTGTTTCAATTAGGTTACTTTCATTTTTCTAAATTCCCATGAGTACAGGCCCGACCTACTTGACATATCCTCATAAGACAGTCCCTCCATACTTGGGATTGGTGTAGTGAACCTTCCCTACATTGCCTCCAATATTGTTACTTAGATAAGAGGCCCGAAAGTGTTCATAGTATTCCAGCAGTGATCTGACTAGTGCCTTGTGCAGTTTTAGCAAAATCTTCCTATTTTTGTGCTTCGTTCTCTTTGAAATAAAGGCCAAAATCCCATTTGCCTTCCCTATTACCTGCTGAACATGAATGTTAACTTTTTTGTGATTTATGCACAAGGACACCTAAACTTCTCGTCTTCTATAGACAACAAAGTGTGGAGCTGTCTGACTCACTGTGTTCCTGCAGCTCCACACTTTGTTATCTCTGACTCCAGCATCTGCAGTTCTTGCTATCTCAGTTTTTTTAAACCTATCTTCTGTAACTTTCTGCAGCCTTTCTCCATTTAAGTAGTATTCAACTCCTCTCTTTTCCTGCCAAAGTTCGTAATAACACATCTTTTCACATCATATTCCATCTGCAAAGATTTTGACCACTCTCACTAAATCCCTCTATATCCTTCTGTAGACTCTGCATCATCCTCAGCGCTTGTCTTCCCATGCATTTTTGTCATCTGCAAACTTGGCCACAGTACATTCACTTTCCTCATCCAAGTCCTTCATATATATTGTAAGTAATTGAGGCCCAGCACTGGTTCTTGTGTCACTGAAATAATTGCAGGTTGCCATCCTGAAAATACGCCACATATCACAACTCACTGTCTTCTATTTGCTGGCCAATCCTCTATCCAGAGCCATGGGCTCTTATCTTAAGTAGCCTAACATGTGGTGTCTTTATCAAACACCTTCTAAAAATCCAAATGTATTACACCCACTGCATCCCCATTATCTGTCCTGCTTGCTACCTCCTCAAAGATTTCAAATAATTTTGTCAGTCATGATTTCTTCTTTGTGAAGCCTTGCTAACTCTGCTTGATCATATGTATTTCTAAACACTTTATTACATCCTTCATAATGAACATTTTACCAGTAACAGGTTATCTGATCTTTATCACATTGCTGTTCAGGGAAGCTTGTAGAGATCAAATTAATTCCTTTATTTCCTATATTACAACAGTGAAGTTGTGAAGTTCCTTGATTTTAATGTGCATTGGAATGCCGACATGCCGTGAAGGAACTATATAAATTCAAGACCTTATTTCTTTTAAACAGGCTGAAATAATTTAGGATTTAGCATAACCTTGCACAATCTGCCTATTTGCCACTGTAAATTACATTTAATAATGTACAGTCCCATTCCTTCAGACTTCAATCACTGGAGATTTTTAATATTCATCTATTCTCTCGCACGTGTGCTCTCCCTCTCCCTCTCTCTCTCTCTCTCTCTCTCTCTCTCTCTCAATCCCAATTTCTTTTCTGTACATAATTTTGGTTCAGAATAGGTAATTCAATACAATTTCTGGTTCAGAGTCTGCATGCCCCAAGTTTGCTGTGCCTCGTTCACATGTAACATTGTTCTTATTTTGTATCTAATAGATTATATTGAAGGAAAGAGAAGAAAGGAAACAGCGACGCTTGCTGGAGGAAAAGGGACTGATCCCATCAGGTTGCAACGTATTTGCTCAAGAGGCTCAAGCAGTTGTTTCAGATCAGAATGAGAATCTGGACACAAAAAACAGAACAGCTGAATTAGATGGCAAGTCATTTTGTAACCATTTTTGGTTTGTGTTCTCTTCCCCGTAGCAAGAATGAATAATATACCAGAAACTCTGAAATATGCCACATGTATTATTCTGTATTATATATTATTAAGCTTTGCAAGGTAATCCTAGGAATCTGATTGAGATGCCTGGATCAGTGATAGCTCATGTCTATTTAAAGGTGACCTGCTGAAATACGTTAAACTAGTGAGAGCACAGGCCACAATCTTTTACGTTGGGCACCACCTCAAACATTTCAGCACCTCTGCTCTGACCTGCAAGCTATAAAACCATTAGAAATAGGAACAGGAGTAGCCGTTCAGCCCTTGGAATCTGCTCCGCCAATCAGTAGGATTGCCCTGTAACTTGTGATTCCATTGCAAATCAAGAAATAGCCTTAAGATCGTTGTGGCAAAGTATTCCAAAGATTCTTAACCTTCTGGAAGAAGAAATTTCTTGCCATTTCAATTTAAATTGGCATCTGTTTATTCTGAGACTTTGCCCTGTGGTCCTAGATGACTCCGTTAGGGGAAACATTCTCTCACCGTTTACCCCACTGAGCCTCATAAGAATCCTGTGTGTTTCAATGCGATCACCTCTCATTCTTCTATACTACAGTGAGCAGAATCCCAAACCGTTCAGCCTTTTCTCATAAGACAATCCCTTCATACCAAGAGGGAATCATGTCTGAACTGCTTCCAGTGAAATAGTACATTTCCTCAAATAAGGGGACCAAAACTGCTCTCAGTACTCCAGATGTGGTCTCAGCAGTACCTTGTACCATCACAGTAGGGCATCACTACTCCAACACCTTCACACATTCCATTTGCTCTCTCATTTTTGTTCACTAGTCAAAAGCAAGTGTAGTTCTTGGCTGAAGCAGGGTTATAGGTTGGAGGATCAAAAGGGCCTATAAGACGGAGGTAAAAGGTAACCTGAAAACTGGGAAAGATGGAATGAGGGCGAAGAAGCTTATTAAGTAGAGCAAAAGGAGTGGAATAAAAGAGGAGAAAGAGAAAGGGATGTGGTTATCCCTGATAAGTTAAGCGATGTTCAGTAATTGGAAGGGGTTATGATGTACTCTGCTGTGAATGCTTGATTCTGGCCATCAACATGGTTGAGACTTGTTGTATGCATGAGAATCGTGAGCTTTCGCCCCCTAAATAAAGACTGACATATGGAGGAGGAAAAGCGTACACGTGTACTTTTTCTTTAAAGAGACTTATTTATCAGACTATCATTTTAATATTTTACCTGAAAAATGAGACTTCCGTCAATGTACAATCCTTTAGAACTGCACTGAGGTGCAAACTTAAGTATTGGGCTCAGTTTTGGTCCCGTTATTCGAGGAAAGATATCATTTTACTGGAGGCAGTTCAGAGATCATTCCTTCCTGGTATGGAGGGACTGTGGGCTGAAATTCCACACCAGAAACTAGTAACTCAGGCAAGGATGTCACTACTGAATTATGGTTGACAAACTTTTTTTTAAATCCTTAAGCTTTAACCATATTGATTCCGTCTTTACCCTTTTCTTGTCTGCATAATCAACACCGCGTGTATTTCCATTTTATCCAAAATTGCCCCACTGTCTGCTAACCCTCCTCAAGACAGGATAATGTATAATTAATTTTCATTCTTGTCTACTATGAAGCTGAGTTTCTGTTAATGTTGAGAACTTCCTCATTAGTAAAGTAAAATCATTACTTCTAGTTCCTCTGATTTTATTACCACACATCTTTCGGTGTTTTCCTCAAATATTACTGATCCATTTGATTCTGTTCCTCCACTCCTTAATCTTCTTGTTTGTTATTTTTTCCCTGCATAGTATCCTCATCTATTTGTTCATTTACAATTACCTGATCCTGGTTGAACTAATTTTGCAAGCTCTTATCTCCACCTGTCCAGTATTAATGCCTCACCACTTCTCCATTTAATCGTTCAGCCAGCACATAAGTGCCCTCTATGGTCAAATGTACACCACTGGACCCAGTGCCCAACAAAGTGCAATCCTGTTTACTAACACGACACTCTTAACTGCTTCCTGTTTTCTATCATAGCACTTTCCATATTATGTATTTCAAACATTATCAAGTCCTGCTTCTAACTTTGTCTCCCAATCTGTGACTTCTGATAGGTCTTCAGCATTTCTTTATCTAATACAGTACTTTTAACTCCAAATGATGGTGATTGGTTGTTCTTTCTCTCATACAAAACATTTTTCAGTCTTTGCAGTATGAGCATATCACTATGACATTTTCAGCTGTGTTACTATTTATTTTTGTTTTATGTAGTTTATTTCTGTGCAATTTACTTTCATTTGATGGTTCTGACCAGAGATCTAGTTTTCCCCTCAGCCAGCTGGAGCTTCCAATTTGTTTGAGCGCATCAATTTCTCTGACCAAATCGCTTCGAAGTTTGTACTCTTACTCCAAGAATTGGTCTCTTTTTGATGTGTCAAAATGTCTTTTTCTCGAGTTCTGAGTCTTGAGATTAAGTGATCTGAGTTGATGACACTTCACAAGTCAGTACTTAGTTTCAGAGCATCTACAACTTTTAAGAATGATATAATTTCCTCTTCCTGTGCTGTTATTTTACGTTTCAACTCATTTCATAATGTACTTAATGTACTATGCTTTTAGTACGCCTTGATCTCACTTTATCCCACTTCATTTCATTATCTATGATGTGTTCTTGGTTCAGTATTTCAATGTTTGTTTTATTAGTATCTGTTCCTGAAAGAAAATGTTCTTTCATTTTTATCCCTCAAATGATTAGAACAGTTCTGATAACCATTTTAATTGCATACTAAGCATCATTGTCCATTACACTCATAAGTACAGAACAAGTTGTATTTAACAAAAGCTTACATTTTGCAGTATGAATTTTTCTTGTGCATAATGGAGAATTTTCAGATTAAAAACATAGAATTAATTTTTGATAGCCAGTGAAGATGCTGAGCTAAAAAACCCAAGATGCAACTCATTCAACAGGTTGTGAATTTTCCATGGTTTATTAGAGGGACGAATAGTGTTAAGCTTTTTTCATACAAAAATGATTGGTCCCTAAATAATCATGAATCAGTTCCTTATGAGTGGGTTGGAAAATGTAATCCCATACATGGAATGAATGGATTAAACTGCAATTTGCTCTTAAATGGAGAGTTTTGATTATGAGAATCAGGAATATGTTATAAAATCCCATACCTTATTCGTGAAAAAGAACCAGAAATAATTTACTACAGTGAAAATCTGAAAAATGGGCATAAAATCATTAGACATTAATATTTGACAATGCCCCTTATGGTACAGAAGATCAAATTGCATGGAATCCATGGTGAGTTGACGAGTTGGATACAAAATTGGCTTGGCCATAGAAGATAGAAGGTATTGTGGAGGGATGTTTTTCTGACTGGAGGTCTGTGACTGGTGGTGTTCCACTAGGATTAGTGTCGGAGTCTCTGTTGTTTGTAATTGATTTGGATGAAAATGTTGGTGATCTGAGTAGTGTTTGCAGATGACATGAAAATTGGTGAAGTTGTGGATAGTGAGGAAGGATACCAAAGGATGCAGCAGGATATAGATGAGCTGGAAAGTTGGGCAGAGAAATAGCAAATGAAGTTTAATCTGGACAAGTGTGAGCTGATACATTTTGGGAGATCAAATGCAAGAGGAAAGTATACTGTAAATGGGCGTAACCTGAGGAGCATTGACATACAGTGTGACCTTGGGGTCCAAGTCCATAGCTCCCTGAAAGTGGCAACACAAGTGATAAGGTGGTAAAGAAGGCATATGTTATGGTCAGGGCATTGAATATAAAGTTGGCAAGTCATATTGCAACTGTATAAGATTTTGGTGTTGCCACATGTGGAGTATTGTTTGCAGTTCTGGATACTGGACTATAGGAAAGATGTGGCGGCTTTGGAGAGGTTTACCAGGATGTTGTCTGGATTGGAGTGCATTAGCTATAAGGAAAGATTCGACAAGCTTGGAGTGTTTTCGCAAGAGCATCGGAGGCTGAGGGGCATGATTGGAGTATACAAAATTATGAGAGGCATGGATAGAGTGGATAGTCGGAGTCTCTTTCCCAGGGTGGAAATGTCAAATACTAGGGGTCATAAATTAAAGGTGAGAGTGGTAAAGTTTAAAGGAGATGTGCGAGGAAAGTTTTTTTTTACACAGAGGCTGGTAGGTACCTGGATCGTGCTGCTGTGGGAGGTTGTAGAAGCAGATGCGATAGTAAAGTTTAAGAGGCATTTAGACAGGCTTATGAACAAGCCGAGAATAGTGGGATATGGACCATGTTCAGGCAGATGGGATTAGTTTAGAATAACGTAATGGTCAGCATAGTAGGCCAATGGGCCTCTTCCTGTAATGCACAGTTCTGTGTTCTATGGTTTGACTTAAGATAGTCCTTTTAATATTTTAAGTCTCTGTAGTCAGCATATCTGTGCTTTATTCCTCAAGTGAAATGTAGCTATTGAAATAAAAGAGCATGTTGAGAGTGAGAATGGGAAGAAAACATTTTTTTTAAATTCACTAATCAGATGTGAATGTCAATAGCTTGGTCTGCACTTATTACCTGTCACTTGGTGAGTGTAAAGCAGAGGTAGTTTCATGATTAGTGTAGGAGCTGATGGTCACTGGGAGAAGGCAGGAGAATGAGTTTGAGAAACATATTAGCCATGATTGAATGGTGGAGCAGACTTGATGGACTAAATGGCCTAAATCATCTTCTGTATGTTATGGTCTCCAGTGCCCTTCAAGAGGGAGGTGGTGAGCTGCTTCCTTGAATCACGTGGACTGTGGCGGTTCAAGAAAGTGGTCACCGTGACCTTTTGGAGGGCAACTAGGGATGTACAATAAATGCTGGCTCAGTTAGCGATCACCCGCATCCCATGAGTGAAATTTAAAATAAAGTTTTCTTCCTGTTCCTCCACCATCCAATTTGTTATTCGTGGACTTTCAGCTAAAGTTCAAGCTGTATGTAAAAAAATTTATTCAATTGGACTCAAATGTATTTGTGTTAACTTGACAATTATGGAACATAGTGAATAGTAGGATATCATTTAGCCCCTCGAGCCTGTTTCACCATCCGCTGAAATCATGGTTGACATCTAAATCAATTTCCTAATCCAACTTCAGACTTCAACTTCACATGGCTAGCAAAAAGCCATTTGATACTTTTTTTTTTAATTATTCATTCAAGAGATGTGGTCTTTGCTGGCTGGTCAGCATTTATCGCTCCTTCTTCAGGGTCAAGGAGTGGGCACAAGGTATTCTGAAAAGAGAGAACAAACAACCAGAGGTAATGGTGCGCGTCAGTACTAACAACATAGTCAGGAAGAGTGATGAGGTCCTGCAAAAAGGGAGTTAAAATAGTCAGTTGAAAATCAGGACTCTAGGGTTGTAATCTCAAGATTACGAGGCAAGGTAGCACAGTGAAGAGCACTGCTACCTCACAGCTCCAGGGACCTGGGTTCAATTCCAACCTTGGATTGCCTGTGTAGAGTTTGCATGTTCTCCCCGTGTCTGCATGGGTGTCCTCTCTCACCCCAAAAATGTGCAGGTTAGGTGGATTAGCCATGCTATTTTGTCTGTAGTGTCCAGTAATGTGTAGGCTAGGTGGATGGAGTGGGATGCTCTTTGGAGGGTCAGTGCAAACTCAATGAGCCAAATGGCCTCTATCTGCACTGTAGGGATTCTGATTCTGTGATTACTCCTTGTGCCACATGCGAGTGAGGCGAGGAATAGGAAGATTTTACAGTTAAATACATGGCTAAAGAACCAGTGAAGGAGGGAGGGCTTCAGATATGTGGGTCATTGGGATGTCTTCCAGGGCAATTGGGACCTATATAAGAAGGATGGGTTTCAGCTAAACTGGAGGGGCAGCAATATCCTGGCAGGGAAGTTTGTCAGTGTCACTTGGGAGGGCTTAATCAAGTGTGACAAGGGGTGGGAACCAGTGCAGTAGGTCAGCAAGTGAAATGACCAAGGAGGCATTAGAGACTAAAGCCATTAAGGTTAATTCCGTGCTGTATGACTCTAAGACTGTGACTCTTAAGAGGAAGAACATAGAGGGAGAGATTACACTGTGGGTGTGGCAGACTGAAGTGCATTTGTTTTAACAGAAGGAGTATGACAGGTAAGACAGATGAACTTAGAGCTTGGCTTGGTGCATATAACTATGATATTATTGCTGTTACAGAGACTTGTTTGCCAGAGGGACAAGACTGGCAGCTTAATGTTCTGGGATTTAGATGTTTCAGGTGAGATCGAGAGGAATGTAAAAGAAGTGGGTGGGAGAGTTGTATTACTGATTAGACGGAATATCACAGCTGAACTAAGGGAGGACACTTTGGAGGGCTCACTAAATGAGGCTGTATGGGTAGACCTCAGGAATAGGACAGGTGCAATCACTTAGGAGTTGTACTATAGGCGTCCCAACAGCCAGAGGGAGATACAGGAATAGATATATGTACAGGTTATGGACAAATGTGAAAATAACAGGGCTGTTGCAGTGGCAGATTTTAAACTTCCCAGATATGAACTGGGACACCCTTAGCACCAGGGTTTCAGTTGGGGGGTATTTGTTAGGTACATCCAGGGGGGTTTCTTGAAGCAATATATAAATGGTCCATTAAGGGAAGTGGCCATACCAGGCCTGCTATTGGAGAACGAGCCCGTCCAGGTGAAAAGTTTCAGTGGGAGAATGTTTTGGGAACAGTTACCATAATTTAGTCAAAAAGAAAAAGGAGCCCTATGTGAGGTTTAGGAAATTGAAGACAGAGCCCTCGAGGAATATAAATATAGCAGGAAAGAACTTAATCGAGTTAGGAGGGCCATGACATGACTTTGGCAAACAGGATTAAAGAAAATCACAAAGCGTACTATAAGTATGTAAAGAACAAAAGTGCAGATAGGGAAAGGAAAGCTCCATTCAAGGACAAAGGAGGAAATTTATGCATGGAGCCGGAGGATGTGAGTGAGATCATTAATGAGGGCATATTAATATTAAAAAGGTGGTGACAATGGTGTTAAGGTAGATGGGTCCCTAGGTCCTGACAGGATTTATCTCAGAATACTGAGGGAAGTGAGGGAGAAATGGCCGACAGAATTTAATCTGGACAAATGTGAGGTGATGCATTTTGGCAGGTCTAATGCAGGAGAGAAGTATGCAGTAAATGGCAGAGCCCTTAGAAGCATTGACTTACAGAGGTGTCTAGGTGTCTAGGTGTACAGGTCCATAGTTCCCTGCAAAAGGTAACACAAGTGGATAAGATAGTCAAGAAGGCATATGGCATGCTTGCCTTCATTTTTACAGAGAATAAAAATTAGCTCGTCATGTTGCAGTTATATAGAACTTTAGTTAGGCCACATTTGGGATATTGTGTACATTTCTAGTTGCCACACTACCAGAAGGATGTGGAGGCCTTGGTGAGGGTTCAGAAAAGGTTTACCAGAATGTGGTCTGGTTTGAAGGGTATTAGTTGTGAGGAGAGATTGGAAAAAACTCAGTTTGTTTTCACTTGAACGTTGGAGGCTGAGAAGCGGCCTGATAGAGGATTACAAATTTATGAGAGGAATGGATAGAATAGATGATCAAAATCTTTTTCCAGGGGTAGAAATATCAGCTACTAAGAGATGTAGGTTTAAGGGATAAGAGGGAAAATTTAAAGGAGATGTGAGAGGCAAGTGTTTTAAATAAAGGATGGTAAGTGCCTGGAATGTACTGCTGGAGGTGGTAGAAGCAGATGCAAGTGCAATGTTTAAGAGGCATATTGACTGATATATGAATATGCAAGGAATACAGGGATACAGACCACATAGAGACAAACCTATTTATTTTAAAAAAGGATGATATCTTGGTGCAGGCTTTACTGCATGCTATACTGTTCTTTGTTCTATTCCTAATCGCCTATGAGAAGGTGGTGATGCTGAGCTGCCTTCTTGAAGAACTGCAATCAATTTGGTGTAGTTACACCCACAATGCTATTATGAAGCGAGTTTCAGGAGTTTGGTGACAAGTAAGGTACTGATTGTGTAGCTAACTAGGCTGCGCCTGCAAAGTGCAAAACTGTGTCTAATATTAGACGTGATTCTACAGTTGAACAATATTCGCTCGATTAACCTGGGTGTGTGGAGGAGTACACAGACAATCTATTTAGGATTGTCAGCCAGGCTTGCACTTTCGTATATACTGAAGGTATGTATATTGTATGTAGGGCCCTGTTCTTTACATACAAAGACAACATGTGCATATACTATGCCAGTTTCAACTCAGCAAAATAGGTGACAGTCATTCAGTAGTTCATTTCTCAGGCAATACTCTAACCAATCAGTTATCTGCCTGATTTAAAATTTAAACAAAGCGTGGCAGTTAATATTAATCCATCATTAACTGATTCATTGGTAAAGACATTGTCACATAGAATGCGAGTCTACTTGCTAACCAATCAACACTCTTGTGCAATAGAAACATTGGTTTTCCCCTTTACTGGTATTCTTGCAAATTTCCCTGATGAGTACAAGATGAAAAGCTTCAATAAAATGTGTCATTTGTCAGCAATGCTCCAGGCATATAGCTTTTTTTGAGTTTTTTTGTTATTATAGTCAGAGCCGTTGAAATCTACAGCACAGAAAAAGGTCTTTCAACCAATTGTATCTACACCAGTCAAAAACAACCACCTATTATAATGCCATTTTCCAGTGCTTGGCCAATAACCTTGTATGCATTAGCATTGCAAGTGCATATCTAAATATTACTCAAATGTTATGAGGGTTTCTGCCTTCACCACCCTTACAGGCAGTGAGTTCCAGACTCCCATCACACCCTCTGAGTGTAAAAGATTTTCCTTCCATCTCCTCTAAACCTTCTGCCCCTTACCTTAAATCTATGTCCCCTGGTCGTCGATATCTCCATCAAGGGATAAAGTTTCCTCCTGTCTACCCTATCTATGCCCCTCATAATTTTGTACATCTCAATTATGTCCCCTTGCAGTCTCCTCTGCTCTAAAGAAAACAGCCTCAGTTTATCTAATCTTTCTTTATTACTGAAACTCTGCAGCTCCGGCAACATACTGGTAAATCTCCTCTGCACTTTCTCCAGTGCAATTGCTTCCCTTCTAAAAAGTGGATTCCAAAACTGCATTCAATACCCTAGCTCTCGCCTAACCAACATTTTATACATTTCCAGCATAGCCTCCTTGCTCTTGAACTCTGTGCCTCAATTAATAAAGGCAAGTATCCAAGATGCCTTGTTAAGCATTTTATCCATTTGTCCTGATACGTTAAGGAGCCAATGTATGTGCTCAGCAGGGTCCCTTTGATCCTTGGTATTTCCCAGGGTCCATCGTGTGTTCCCTTGCTTTGTTTGTCCTGCATCACCTCACATTTTTTAGAACTGACTTCCCATTTGCCACTGATCAGCCCACCTGACCAGACAGTCTTATATTCTCCTGTATTCTAAGGCCTGACACAACCTTTTGGTGATCTAGTTTCATGGACATGGTCAGAGGGATTCAGAATTTCATTCACTATCATGCTTGTAACACCATGTTTTGTTTGCGCACTGCTCCTAGGGAATAAGTAGGACATCCAGTGTTCCCTATAAGTTTTGATGTACCATAGCTGCTCAGTTCAGGAAGAGAGGCAGCAACAGATCAGGCAGTGTGAGTACAATTTTAATGTTTCTAGCTATATCCGACATGGATTTTTCTGAAAGCAGAGTTTGAAACAGTAGGGCAAGTTTTTGAGCTAGGTTAAGACCTGTTACTTCCAATTCTAGATAGCAGAATTTTACTGATGAAAATACTTAGTTTTGTACAATTTTATTCAGCTGAGTATACTATCCTGTGACCTAGAAAATGTTGTTATATTTTTGATTTAGATTCAACAGATTTGGCTGTTTTTGCACCATCTTCATCCAATCAAAATTTAGAATCTCTTTCTGAAACACCAAAATATCCTGAAGGAACTTTGATGGAAAACATTTTGATGAATTCCAGACATCCAAAGATACATAGCAGACGGTTTAGAGAGTAAGTGAAATCCTGATGCCTAATGTTGAAATGAATGTTGCTTAATTTAGTACCACATGAAAGTAAGTATTTGGACATTTGTCATTAGATTCTGCAATGTTCTGATCCACTGAATTTGAAATTTGAGCATCTGTGCTGTATGTACTTGCAGAGAATGGAACATTGCTGGGGTCAGGGATGGATATTTGTCGTTAGTTCACGAAGTATTTTTACATTTGCGCTCTCTGGTCACTTTTTTTCAGATCAGAAACACCTTCAGCTCCTCTATTCATTCTCCCGTCTGTATTTGTAATCTGCCTTCTAATTTATCCTTGCCCCTTTTGCAAAAGCATCACCATCCATATTGCATAGCAGTTTACTACTGCTCCACCCAAATGACCAACATGTCATTATTGATCCTACTGCTGATATCATGAACATCCCTCTTTCCGTCTATACCAACTACTTCCTTTTCTGAACTAAAATCACCATGCATTGAGCTCCGATTTTACTAATAATACCATTAGAAATGCAGAACTCTTTAAAGGTTAAGTAGAACAGCCCTAGAGTTGACTGAAAGCAAGTGATGTTCACTGGACTTTGTATTTAATAGCTGAGTTCTTGAGGTCTTGTGGTGCAGCAACAGGGTCCCTGCTTCTGAGCCAGGAGTCCTGGGTTCAAGTCCACAAGTGTATAATAACCTCTCTGAGCAGGTTGAATTAAAAAATGCTTCTTTTAGAGAAAGCTATGTGCCACAGGAGGTGGAGTACTTTATCTCCCCCTACAACTCCATCAGTCCATGGAAGAAAATGTTGTAGAGTTTCAAACATAATATAAAGGACTAAAGAAATTCAGTTTAGAAATTGCAGATTCTGTGGCTTTTAAACTGTTAGATTGTGCACAGATTTCATTTTTCTGGTGTTCATTGTTATGGTAATGACACTTTATGAACAAATGGTTGCTACTGCAAAAAAAACGTTTTAAGGAGATGATCATTTCTAGCTACGTTCTCAGGAATTATTGGAAGTGCTGTGGTAATACAGAGAATGGAAGTCTTTATGATTAATTACTGTCAAAGTTTAGGTGGGCTTGTCTCAAACACCTATATGGATTGATTTTCCAAAATACATTTTGAGGGAAGCCATACATTCGTAGATTTCTGAATCAAGGGAAATACAGGATTGGGGTGATGCTGAAAATGAATGGATCTCAGAAATACATGAGGAATAATTAATAAATGTTTTCAGTGCAACTCTAAATATTCCTATCAGGAATTGTCCAAGGAAAAAGAGTGAAGTATTCGAACCAGCCCATGAAAGAGATGGTTTTGAACGTGAATTTGATTTCAGTTGTGCTGTACAAGGTAGTGGCTGTTCCTCAACAATGTGTGGCCTTGATTGGCTGAACTATCATTTGGAAAGACTGGACAAAGCAGACAAAAATAGGTACTAACAGTATGAAAGCTCTACCTGTCCTCAATTCGGGGATGATAATATTTGACCATCTTTAAAGAGAGTGGCCCTCACTTGTGGAATTAAAGGACTGCATTATTTTGTAAATTATGTCATCCAGAATGACATACCATTCTTACTGAATAAGCTTTCGATGTAAAAGGCAAAATACATTTGGACTTGGAGGACAGTTTTGTTAAAGTGGTAAACTTGCAATTCACGGGATCCATTCAAGAAAAGGAATTTCTTATCAAGAAAACCAAGATTTCTGCTGATGAGATCATACAGAAATTGCATAAACAATTGCTCATCTCTCCTCTCAGAAATTAAATCTATTCTTAGTTGATGCCAGAATTATGGATAAAGAATAGAAATTTCTTGTGGAATGGATCACATTGCAATGTGGCAAATGTATTACATATCAAATCATGCCACCACATCTGGTAGTACGTATTCCATTAGCCCAGGAATTTAAAGAACGATCAGCCATGAATTTGAAGATGTGGGACTGAATTTGGAAACGTGGTCACCCAGGTTTACTCTATCCCAGGTGATAATGATAATAAGAACAGATGACAGTAGACACAGTTATGGAAAAGTGGATCAGAACAGGTATTGGATGACCAACAAACTATTTAACCATAATGGAACTAATTGCAAATGATGAATTTCAGGACATGAGAGAACCTGTATGTTATGGTAATGCCCACAACTACAGAAAGTCTGTTCATTGATATTGTGTGAAAGAAACCATGCAATAATTGATGAAATGTTGCACAGAAAATTGAACTGAAAGTTATGAATGGCACTGGCAAGGGCATTACATGCAACAAATTCATTACAGTTGGTTGGGAAGTATAACCTAAAGCAATTAGAATGCAGTCAGAACCCAAAATTCTGTTCAGTACTGCATGACAATCCTCCAGTATTTGAAGGAACACTGGTCAGCTTGCTTCTTTTCTGTCCTCATCCAAATAATGCATTACACACCAGCAGAAAAGCATTCATTAAAGCTGAGGCTTCAAAAGAAATTCAGACGAGCGTTGAGGCATCCATCAGACCATCTAAGAGAGATTTCTGATTTGGGGAGGTGGTTATTTATTAAACAGGGATTGGATAGGGCCAGTAAAGATTATTGGATGTGATGGGAAAACTTGCATTTGTATTACGAGAACCTGACTACTAGTAGAGTGAAAGATTAAGGTGATAAAATAGGCTAAGCGAAGTTAGAGAACTGGAAAGAATTCGGAGTATATTCGGAAGTTGGTGATAGAAGGCAACCTGCTTTGTCACACAGGTGGATCTGTGCAGAAAACGTCCTACCAGATTACACCTATAAGGTGAAGGCTAGGTTGGTTGCTAGAGGTTTTGAGGAATGTTTGAAGAAAAAGAGAGTTTACAGTTGACTTGCACATGGCTGGGAAACTAGTGTTAAGTGTTAATAACCTGTGCGTTTTTTCTAATATTAGTTAACAAGAGAAACAACAAGGCTTTTTCTTAATGCATTCACTCAATGTCTACTGGTCAAGGGCTGACGTCGCGATGTTACTACTGTCTGGGTGCTTTTTGAATATTTTTAACTACAGACTTCAGTTTTTAATAGCAACGTTCATCATCTACATACTATAAAAATACATTTCTACACTCTGACACAATGTGAGCTCTTTTCTACTTGCTGTTATGTGAAAACATTATTTTCTAGCTCTTATTTCAACATGTGCTAGCACTCTGAAGGGCTGAAAAGCTCCACTTGGTTTTAGATTTTCGGTGAGAACAATAACCATTGTCCTTGAGTTCACACCTTACTGTATCTTGCTCAGATGTTCATTATTCACATGTAATTCTTGATTGGCAAGTTGGAGATTGTCCCACAATAGAAAAATATCAAAGCTAGTGTAACTGTACCTTCACCTACACATGTAGGACATTACAAGTACCACATTTAGGGAAAGGAGAAATTTTTTTCTCTTCGCTAGATAATCATGCTGCATCAATATTAATGCTCCTATTCCTTTCCAGCCAAAATCAGCTAACTCCATACATGGGGAGGATTGATCATTTTTGTCCAGAGGACTTAGCAAGTCTACCAAGTGAATAGCTAAGCCTGAATTTCTTTTCATTCCGTTTTATTATTTTATTCCTTTTTTTCAGTCTGAATGTTGCTTTCTAGAAATCGACCTATAACACACAAAACTAAAATCTTAAAATCTTATTATCACATTCACATATTTGTGTGGAATTTTGGTGTGAATTTTTGATTTTATTTTATTAAAACTGAAGTCTGCACAAGTCTAGACAAACTACAATTTTGGATTCAAATCATCTAATTCAACAGTTGGATACTGGTGTCAGCCATTTTGGTTGGTAATGCAGTGTATCTAATCAATTGATCATATTTTTCAATGTTTGTTGTATAGAATAAGTTTGGTTAAAACCATAAAGATTACGAGCAGGAGTAAGGCATTTCGTCTATTGAGCCTGACTTCTATAACTTCTGACTCCCTTGGAACTGAAAGACCTGTAAACTCTTCCTAGAATATATTTAATTATCCAGACTCCATTGCTGTACATGGAAAAGAGTCCCAAATGACCCTTGAAGAATGAGTTCTTTTTGATCCTATATGGGAGATCCCTTACTTTAAAACTCTGCCTCCCAACTTTAGATACCTCCATGAAGGAGCACCATCTCAGCATTTATCCTGTCAAGTCCCTTTAGAATCCTTTTTGTTTCAACGTGACCATCTCTCATTTTGAGTTCCAGTGAATATAGATCCAATCCAAGCTTCTCTGAACTGCTTCCACTGTGAGTATATATGCCTTTTTAAGTAAGGAGACTAAAATTGTACATAGTGCTCAAGGTGCAGCAACAACAATGCCCTGTACAGTTGTAGCAAAACTTATGAACTTCAATGAACTTTCCCCCGCAATAAGAACACCACGTCATTTGGCTTTCTAATTTCTTGCTGGATCAGCACATTTTTATGATTCATGTACAAGGACTTCCAGATCCCTCTGTAGCATGGCATTCCACATTCTCTCTCCATTTAAATTATTTGCTTTTGTATTCTTAAGTCCGAAAGTGGGAAACCTTGCATTTTCCAACATTGTATGCCATCTGCTAAATTTTGGCTCACTATCTTCATTCCCTTTGAAGACTATTTGTGCTGCCCCACAATTTGCTTTCCCCTACTCATTTTTGTATTGTCAGCAAAATTAGTTACAATACAGTCAGTCGCTACATCCATGTCATTAACATGGATGGTAAATATTTGAAGTCTCATAACTCATCCCAATGGCCACTTTACTGATTACAGTTTGCCAATCTGATATTTATCCTGACTTAATTTCTTTTCCATGTTAATATATCACCCCCAACACTTCTTTCTTGGCAGTAACCTTTTATGTAGCACCCTTATTGGGTCTCTTGGAAACCCAATATTCTACATCTACTTATCCCTTTATCCACCCTACTTGTTAAATCCTCAAATTGCTCCAATGAATTTGTTAAAATGATGTAAACAGTTCAGTTTTTCATAGATGTATATTTTATCGTTGATGTATTGTTTTGAATAGGGACAATTTTGTGATGTTTGTAGAAAGGAGCAATGATTATGAGAATGAGGTTTAGCATTCATGATCTTTCAAAAAAAAAAGTCACATGCACGCACAAGCTCAGTGTTTTTCCTGTGCAAGATGAAACCATTTAATTTCTTGTATTCAGAAACTTCAAACTTGAAACATCTCAGTAAATATCTGCATACATGCTTGATAACGGAAAGACCTTGGTTACATAAATGATTTTTAATTACTTCATTAATTTAATACTATTTAATTTCTCTATAGTATCAGTTTTAAGATCTATTATTTCAATAATATTCTCAATGGACCACCGTTCTTCACATTTGTAAATTTAATTTCTTTAAATTGTCTATTGCTTGCATCATCATACTTCTCTATCATCTCTGTCTTCCCTTGACTACATTGGCTCTGAATCTTACGTTATCTCAAATATTTAAATGCTTCATGGCTTTGTCCCTCCTCCTGCTCCTGTATCTGCACCACCACCATGATCGTACAAATTCACTTGTACTGTAATTTCCACTCCTGCTTTGTACTTGTGATTCATTGCCATCTGAATCCAAAAATCATTACAATTTCAAATAATGAGGCACCAATTTGCCCTGTAATGCAAATTTCTACTTTGCCTGTTTGCTTTGCCCATTATCATGTGATAAGAACAGCAAGTGCCAATTTTCCAAGAGTTTAATTCCTCTGTGTATAGATGCTGTCACCACGTTTTTCCTTGTGTAATATATACTTTGCAATAGTTTTTCACCATGTGCATGCTTTTTCTCGTTTAGATATTGCAGCCAAGTGCTCAGTAAAGAAGTTGATAGCTATGTGACTGACCTGCTGAAAGAACTTGTCCGTTTCCAAGATCGTTTGTACCAAAAGGATCCAATTAAAGCTAAGAAAAAACGTAGGATTGTAATGGGGCTGAGAGAAGTGTTAAAACATCTAAAGCTGAAAAAGCTGAAATGTGTTATAATTTCTCCCAACTGTGAAAGAATACAATCAAAAGGTAATTTGTTTGTAATTGTTCCTTTTACAAGATGTAGAAAAGTGAAAAATTAATAGAAACAAAATTAGGCTGATTAGTATATCGAGCACATTTTGCTATTCAGTGATATCAAGACTGATCTATGACCTGCCACCGTATCCTTAACATCTTTAAGACCATCAGACATAGGAACAGAAGTAAACCGTTCAGTCCATTGGGTGTGCTCCTCCGTTCAGTGAATCATGGGAATCCTCAATGCTTGATTCCCTTGCTGAATAAAAATCTGACTCACCTCAAATATACTTAACAACCCAGCCTTAACAGCCTTCTCTGTTAAACAGTTCCACAGGTTGACTACCCTGTGCATAAATGCTCATTACTCTAAGACTGTCTCAGGTCCTAGATTCTCCCACAAAGGGAAACAACCTCCCAGCATCTACCCTGTTAAGCCCTCTGAGAATCTTATGTTTCAATAAGATCTTCTCTCATTCTTGTAAATTTCATTGAGTACAAGCCCAAACTATTCAACCTCACCTCATAATAAGATCCCTCCGGGATCAACCTAGTCAGCTTTCTCTACAATGCCTCAAATGCCAGTATATCTTTCCTTATATAAGATGACCAAAACTGTTCACAAAATTCGAGGTGTTGTCTGACTGATGCATTATGTAGTTTTAGCCAAACCTTCCTATTTTTACACTCCATTCCCTTAAAAATAAATGCCAACAGTCCATTTACCTTCCTATTTACCCATTGAAATTGTATGCTAGCTTTTTTGTGATTCATGTATTAGGACTTCTAAATCCCCTCTTGCTCAGCTTTCTTCAGTCTTCACCCCATTTAAATAATAGACATAATTGAAACTAAGTGCATTAATTATCTCTACCATGATTAAAATGGAGAATAATTGGAAGATATAGAGAAGGGGGCATCTAATGGGGATGGGAGGAAGCTATAAAGGGGGAGACACATCTCGGTGAAAAATGATATGAATCTGGATATTTGCTTAATGTGAGTGGGCACAATAATTAAACTGAGAAAAACACATCTTACTGTGAAGGCCTATGCTGTAGTTGATATTATCTGAGTCACTAACTCTTAATTTTCTCTGGTAAAGCTAAACATTCACTGTTCCTGCTTTAATGTTTTTAATTATAGTGCAATTAATTTTGGATGATCTGGAGTTTTAAAACTTCTATCGCCTTTGGGACATTTGGTTTATTGCGAACTTAATTCGGTCATGTTCCATGTGAAAATTAATTTGAATTAGTAACAATAAAACAAAACTTCACAAACTAATTAAATAGTATAAAACATTAAATCTACTGCTAAAGTGTATCTGATCAAAAACTGAGCACTGTGTAACTTGCACATTGCAAGTTAATCCCACCTGTTCATTAGTCCAAACATTAGTCAGTTCTGCTCAGCTTTTGCTTAGATGTCAGATACTTCTTCAACAACTGAACGTTACAGACAAGCTGGGCTGTTGCCTCCTTACTGGATCTACTCACTGGAACTTTTTACTATTACTGTCATGAGGAGCAGCACCTTCACTCAGAATCAACAGTTTCAGTATCAGTCAGCAATGTGAAATTGAACTTCCTCACACATAAACATTTTTTCTGTTGGTTATGGGTAGAGTAACAATGTAAAAAAAAAAAAAATGAGTGATTTCTAAATTCCTAATGAGTACCTTGATTTTCTCACCTAGTCATTCAAGTAAAGTCTATTATGATAATTTCCAACCTCAATTTTTTAAAAAAATCTAATTTTAAAACAAAAATACTTTACTTTACTCTGGCTTAGTCAATAAAGACCCACTTTGTCAATAATAAAATGTTTGTGGGCATGTAACCAATCAGAAATATTATCACTGTCTCAGTTGTCAGTACTTGTTGTAGCAGTGCTGCTTGAAGACTGAAGCTTAATGATATGCTCAATTTGAAGTTCTAATCCATTTGCAAAAAAAGTTGTTCCAAATTCTCAAGTAATAATTCATCTTTTCCAATAAGATTAGGTTGGACAACCTAGAAAGGTTAGCTAGATTAGAAGGGTGCACATCTTCTTTCTTTGACTGAAAAAAATGTCAGTTGATAATCAGCCACGATTTGCTTCTTGATTTTCAGGTTGTTACTGAGGATGCTTCTCTGGAGGGTGTTCCTCTCCACATTCCATCTTGTATTTTGGTTTTGTGTGGGGTGTTTCTGACTAATTTTCTTCTAAATTTATTCCTAAAATTGTTCAATATCAAGGTCACAGGATAAAGAAAGCTATTCATTTAAAATTAACTCATTCATCCTGAAACACCCTGAAGTTTGCCCATTGCATTGCCTGACTTTTTTAAAATGCCTACACTGCTAAATCTTGAAGTCTGTTTTATGTATTGAATGCTCCATAAAAAGTTCTTTATTTATAAATATCAAATTTATCTTTTCCATGTTGGTGTTTCCTCTGACCAATTCATGAAATTTAAAATAATCACCTAAGTTTATCTTTACCACTCCTACAAATACGTCATACACACCTTTCCTTGTTACTTAGACATTTACCAGGAATCAGCCATTGTTCGCTCGAGTTGTTTACTGCACAACCTCTTATGTTCGAATGTTTCTGTCTTGTGTTCAAGTAACCAGAACTACACAAGTGCAATCTGACAAAAGCATGTCACAATTCAATTGACTATTTTTGTCTTGTATTTTACTGTTCTGGTTATGTAATTCATCTTCTGTTGTTTTTATTGATTTCTGCTGTGCTGTTAATTCTGAGTGAAGATGCTGCTGCTCATGACAGTAATCGTAAAAAGTTTCAGTGAGTGGATCCAGTAAGCTGGCAACAGCCCAGCTTGTCTGTAATGTTCAGTTGTTGAGGAAGTGTCTGACATCTAAGCAAAAGCTGAGCAGAACTGACAAATGTTTGGACAAATGAACAGGTGGGATTAACTTTACCAAGACTCTTGGATCCCTTTCAACTTCAGGCTATTTGTAGAGATTGCATTTTGCTTATTTTTCCATCCTTTGGTTCTTGTTCAAGTTAAATTTCATCCATCATTTCTGAACTGCCTCCTCAAATTTCACTGACCCCCCTAAGTTGGAATCATTTCCAAAGTTCAGCACTTGGACATTGACCTTTGAATATAGGTAATTTTATATTAATTAAAATATTAGTGGTCTGATACCTAGTGGTGGAAATTTGTACATCATACTCCCTTTACTTCCACCCATCTGCTGACATAACTGCTTTCCACCCAGTTGTTTATATATCCCTAGAGTTAACCCTAATTCTCCACTGTTTTGATTTTTTTTAAAACTACAAGCCTTTCATGTAGACCATTGTCTTTAGGAAGTCTAGACAGATTCAAAATGTTTGATCAGAGCATTTTTAAGAAGGGTTATATAAGTGACAGGCAGTTCAACAGTCTGTGGAGAAATTACAGAATCCAAACCAAGAAGCCTGGAGGTATATATATCAATACCAGTATCAGTATTCAGGTGAAGAAAGTTGGGATGTATATTGGATGGAGTTCAAGAAGAGAAAAGCTCAGAAAGAGCCTTTTGTAGCCACAGTTCAAATTGTGAATTTAACCAACTGCATGGCCTATGTGGGAAATAGATTAAAGTCAAAATTTTGTGGGTTTATTTTAAACTAGATGGCCCTGTGTAAAGACTCCTGGTCCAGGGTATACTTGGCAACTGCAGTTGTAAGATGCAGAATATTGACTTCTTTAATATCTTAATATATTAATAATGTTTAAAAATTGTTTTATCCAGGTGGCTTAGATGAGACATTGCATACAATAATTGAAGTTGCCCGTGAACAAGAAATTCCATTTGTCTTTGCTCTTAATCGTAAAGCTCTAGGGCGCTGTGTAAACAAAGCAGTTCCTGTTAGTGTGGTTGGAATCTTCAGCTATGATGGTGCTGAGGTTAGTCTGAACCAATTAGTGATTCACTTTTTCGGTGTTAAGAACAGAATGTGTATTTCAGAAATGATTCCTGAAAGGGTCTGTATACAACATCTATGAATGCATATTTTAAAGAAATCTAGACAAGTCAATTTTATTTTACAAATATCCATTTTCTGTACCGTGTATGCTGGTGTCTGGTCTAATTGTATTTCATAATTATAGGAAAGTTTTAACTAACAATAGATATATTTGTTGAAAAGTGTCTTAAATTAATAAGAATGCTGCATTGTTAAACCCCTTTAATAGCATAGGGCAAGTTGACACAGTCCAATTCACCTTAAAATGTTTATAAGCCATTCGTTTATATTGTGGTGCTTGTAATCTTTTGTTGTAAAGGAACAAATTGGGCCACATATTTACTTAGATCATAGAATCCCTACAGTGTGGAAACAGGCGCTTCAGCCCAACAAGTCCTCACCGACCCACAGAGCATCCCACCCAGACCCATTCCCCTATAAATCCACCTAATCTAAACATCCCTGAACACAATGGGCAATTTAGCATGGCCAATCCACCTAGCCTGCTCATCTTTGGACTGTGGGAGGAAACCCGCAGACACGGGGAGAATGGGCAAGCTCCACACAGACAATCGCCCGAGGGTGGAATCGAATCCGGGTCCCTGGCGCTGTGAGGCAGTAGTGCTAACCACTGAGCCACTGTGCCGCTTGTGTTCACGATAAGTTTGAATTATGTGTGTCAAAACCTATTTTTATTTCCCCACTTGCATCAAGACGCTGTCTATGTCAGATTGGCACAGATGTTGGGTTTTACTTTGGTTAAAAACTGGTATGGATGAGAGGGAGAGGGGTAAACATTTGAAGGAAATAATTGTCTTTGCATTATAAAATCTAAGGTCACAACCACTGTGCAATGCTTTGGGCTGCATGCTGGTATAACAAAAACTTATAATTTGCACAGCACTTTAATATCATAAAATATTCATAGCAAAAATATAAAACCAAATATCATATGATGTGAAAAAAAGCAAAGAACTGCGGATGCTGGAGATCTGAAACAAAAACACAAATTGCTGGAGAAACTCAGCAGGTCTTGCAGCATCTGTGGGAAGGAAGCAGAGTTAATGTTTTGAGAGCCATAACTCTTCTCATCATGCAGTTTCAGTTGACCAAAAACCTATTCAAAGAGTTAGGTAAGGGAGATATGAAAGGACGAAAGTTAGGAAAAGAGGCGTAGATGTTTCAAGAGGCAGCTCCGTACCATAAAGCCATCACACTGAAATCACGGCCAACAATTGCAGAATGATTACATCAGCAGTTCTTAGGCAACAATTGGATGAGGCATTGCTGGTTAAGCCAGCATTTATTGCACATCCATAATTGTTCTTGAACTTCTTGAACTGTTACAGTCCTTAAGATGTAGGAGCAATTTCAGTGCTGTTATGAAAGAACATTAAAGGATATTGATCTGACAACAGTGAAAGAGCAGTGATGTATTTCCAAGTGAGGATGGTGTTTGGCTTGGAGGGAAACTTGCAAATGCTGGTGTTCCTGTGCACTACCTGCTGTTGCCCTACTGGGTGATAGAGGTTATGGGTTTAAAAGGTGCTGTTGATTAAGCCTTAGTACGTTACTTGCAGTGCACAGTGCATTGGTGGTGAGTTTGTGAATGTGGAATGTAATGGATAGGGTGCCTGTCAGGTGGGCTGCTTTGTCCTGGATGATGTTCAGCTTCATGAGTCTTACAGAGTGACGCCCATCAAGCTAGTGGAAAGTATTCCATTACACTCCTGACTTGTGTCTTTTAGTTGATTGATATGCACTGGGGAGTTACTTGCACAATTCCTAGCCTCTAATCTGCTTTTGTAGCTGCAGTATTTATCTGGCTGGTCCAGTTCAGTTTCTGCTCAGTGATAACTTCCGGGATGCTATAGGCATGGAATTCAGTGATGGTAATGCTGTTGAATGTCACATGGAAATGATTAGATTCTCTGTTATTGTACATGGTCATTGTCTGCACTTGTGTGACATAGTATTACTCGCCACTCATGAGCCCAAGCCTAATGTTGTCCATGTCTTGCTGCATTAAAACACTTCAGCACCAGGAGCCTTAAATAGTGCTGAACATTGTGCAATCATCAGTGAACCTGTCCACTTCTGATTTTGTGATGAGAGGAAAGTCAGTAATGAAGCAACTGAAGATGTTTTGGCCAAGACCACTACCCTGAACGACTACTACAGTGATTTCCTGGACAAAGATGATTAATCTACAACAGCTGCAGCCATTTTCCTTTGTGCTAAATATATCTCTAGCCAGCAGAAAGTTTTCCCCATCATACTCATTGACTTCAATTTGTCCAGGGCTCCTTGATTATCATACTTAAATTAGGTGCTACCTTGATTTCATGAGCTGTCACTCTTGCCTTAACTCTGGAATTCAGCTTTTTTTTTTGCCAGTGTTTAGACTGAGGCTGTAATGAGATCAGGCTGAGTGTGAACTAGCAGAAACAAAACTGAATGTCAACGACCAGATTATTGCTGAGCAAATACTTCGCAGCACTGTTAACGACCCTTTCAATCACTTTGCTTCTGATTAAAAGTAGATTTATAAGCCAGTAATTGGCAAGATTGGATTTGTCCTTTTTTTTTGTGGATAGGAGAAAACTGGGAAGTTTTCCAGAATACCAGGGTAGATGCCAGTATTGTACCAAGAACAATCAACAGTACAGTATAGGAACAGGTCTTCAGCCCACCAGGCTTATATTGACGTGAAGCCTCTGTAAACCAAAAACCTTTTGCCTTTTTCTTTTTGACTAAGCTCACAATTTCTCTTGTCATCCAAAGTTCCCTAATCTTGCCAGCCTTATCCTCCATTTTCATAGGAACATGCTGATCCTGAACAAAAACAAAGTTCTGGAAAAGCTCAGCAGGTCCGGCAGCATCTGTGAAGGAGAAAACAGAGTTAACGTTTCGGGTCCAGTGACCCTTCCTCAGAACTGACAGTGGCTGGGAAAACGTCAGTTTATATGCAGAAAATGGGGAGGTGGGTGGGGTAGGGAGTAAAGATGGGATAGAGCCCAAAGAGAGAGAAAGACAGTTGGACAGACAAAGGATTTGCTAATGATCAGGCTGGGAGGATGAATAGTTGTTAATGGGGACTGTTAGTCACTAACAACAGGGGGTGTGTAATGGCAGACTATGTGGTAACAAGGCCTGGTGTGTGGGTTAGGGGACTGGGACATGGGAGAGTTTAGGCCCTAAAATTATTGAACATGATATTGAGTCCGGAGGGCTGTAGGGTCCCCAAGCGGAAAATGAGGTGTGTTTCTCCAGAGATAGTAGGAACTGCAGATGCTGGAGAATCTGAGATACCAAGGTGTAGAGCTGGATGAACACAGCAGGCCAAGCAGCATCAG